TTACCGTTATAGACTATTTCTGTAAATAAAAAAATTTTGAGATTTGCCCATGCAAGGGACAATACAAAACAAGTCACTGAATATTTTTTCCTGAAAACATCTCCTGCAGTGCACATCTTACTAAAGGTGAGAGCATCTAGTGCAATTGTGGAGCATGACTGAAGGAGTGATCTAATTGTTGACACTACAATTTCACTGTAGTCAGACAGTGTCACTGTAGTAGTACGAAGTCAAACTTCTAAAATACTGTTTTTATGTAGGTCTCAATCTGAAATCCACAGCACAACAATTATATTTTGAATAAAAATTCAGATTTATTTTCATGACAGTAACACTCATCCAAAAATGTGTATTTGGTGTACTTCCAATTGCCTCATTTTACTATTAACCTAATTTTCCTTGTACTTTTCCTTTTCTCTTTCCCTAATGATCCAACACCTGTCTCCTTTCTACACTTTCCATGTACTCCCAACACTTTGTTCCAAGTTTCATAGGGACCTGCTTCCTGAAACCCCCAGCCTACTTACTTGACAGTAGTCATCCTGGGACTTTCCTTCATCGCATTTGTTGGTAAGATCTTATGTTTTCAGGATCCCATGCCTTCTTACTTAGATTTACTCTGCTGTTTTGATGAAGCACATCCTCCAGTAGCCTCCTAGGAAAGGGTACATGGTAAGATACAATTTTGAGACTACTTAAGTCTAAACTTTACATTAGCCCCATGCTTGAGTGGATTCTTATGTACAGAATTCGAAATTAGAAATAATTTTTCCTCTTATATTTGAAGGCTTTGCTTTCAGTCTTCTAGAATCCAGTGCTGTTAACCAAGAAGTTTAAATGCCATTCTCAAAACATCTTTTCATGTAACCCTTGTTTCTCCCCTTTGGAAACTTTTAGGATCTTCTTAACCCAGGCATCCTGAAATACCTCATTTTTTAAAATTCATTGTGCCAGGCACTCAAGCAGACCCTTTTAATTTAGGAGACTCATGTCCTATTTTTGGGAAATGTTCTTACATTTTGTTTTCTTTCGTCACCTTCTTTCTCTGTTCTCATTTCGGAGCTCATATTGTGATGTTGCATCCCACCCTGATCTTCTAGTTTTCTTTTTTGTTCTTTCCTATTTTCTATTTCTGCCTTTTTGTTCCACCTCCTGTATTTCTTCAACTTTCAACGTATCTACTGAAAGGTTAATTTTGGCTCCATTTTCAATACTCTTATTTTCTGATTGTTCATTTTTTTATAGCATCCTGTTTTTATTTCATGGATGCAGCATATTCTCCTATGTTTCTGAGAATACAGCTTCTGTGGAGAGTTTTCTGTTCCCCATATTATTTCCGTTTTTTTTCCAGGTTCTTTCATTTGTTTTTTTCGTCTTCATCTTTTATTGCTGCAGGTATCCTCAAATGCCTAGTAATCTTTGGCTATCAGTGTTTCATTACTTCAAGAGACTGAAAGTCATGTACGAATGGGCAGGGCTTGTGAACTTTGGGTTTCACTGTAATATCTTTATGGGTGGGGTGGGCAGGGCTAGGAATAAGCTCAGCTGCCAGATTTTGTAGCCTGGTGGAGAAAGGGGACTAAAGGCTAAGTGTGCAGAATACTGACATTCTCTCAATCCTATTTTTAGTGTGGCAACTCTCCTCCAGGTCCCAGTTCTAACTTGTTTGGTACAGTTTCTCCAGAGAATAAGTCTCCAGTCTTTGGCTAGAAAGAGAGATCACCAACTGGCTACAAAAGAAAGATAAAAAACTTTCAAATATTCCCCTTGTTTTCAACTTTGCTCCTCACCCCAACCATCCAGGGCACCTTGTGCTTCAAATCCTTGAATCTTTTGGGCATAGTGGAAGGAAAAGATAGGTGTTCCAAATCTGTGCACCTTTTCTGTGATGAAGAATGGTTCCCTGAACTGTGCTACCTTGTCAAGTATTTAAAAAAAAAAAGTAATACGATCTTTTCCTTCACTGTAAGAGTGTGAGAAAATGACTACTTAAAACACAAACAAAAAACATCAACAAACCCAAACTACCTATTATTAAGACACTATTCAAATTTTTACATCTGGAAAAGTTTCAATGGTTTTATGATTTTAGTAAAATACAGTGTGTCTCTCATAAATTCTCTTATCTGCCATCGAGCTTCCTCCTCCACTTCTCAACAGTTCGAACCTTGGCTCAACTGTGTGTTAGTGTCCCTCTCTCCCCGTCAAGCATTTGGAGGTAAGACACCACCACATAACGGGAAGAACCAGACTACTGCTTGGGGACAACTACATGACTACAGTCCCAGACTAATCAATTCTAAAACATTTATAGGACTGGTAGATAAAATACAGTGTGCCAGTTAAATCTGAATTTCAGATAATATTTTTCTGGTATACGTATATCCCACATTTCATTGTTTATCTGAAGTTCAAATTTATTTGGGCATCCCTGTGTTTTTATTTGCCAAATATGGCAACTCAACACATTTAAAGAAACAAGTAGAAAGTGATAGCCAACATAAAAAAGCTGGTTTTAAAGAAGGAAACTGGGATCTGGACCAAAGCTTTCAAGCACTGGGAAAGTTTACATTAATATCAGGCAGATGGCCACGGACACTACCATATAATCCGCTTTGTGTAAGTTCCCATGGAATGCACTGGGATGGTCAATGTTAATGCTTTCAATTAATACAGGAACATAGTTTCTCCAGGTACAAGTTGGCCAACTAGTGTCACCAGAGGTCTGCCACTCAATCAAATCATTCTGGCAGCTCAGGGTGCAAATCTTAAAGCCGATCTATGGACTTATTTTGAGAAAAGATGGCCATACTCTTAGACTGTTCCACTTGTTTCAGTACCTTTGAAAGGAAGTTGCCCCTATTGGGCCATTGTCTGATCAATACATTGTAAAACAAGTTGACTTATTGGAGTGTCAATTCCCACAGTTGACATTATGGATGGAAAGGCAGCATTAAACATGGGTTTAGCAGTTAACCCAAACAGAATGTTCCCCCAAGAAAATATGGACAGCTCCTTAATTACAAACTGCAACACTGTTTCTCATTTGGTTTCTATTGACATCTAATTTGATACCACACCCTATCAGTTTGTGTGTGTACTGGGAACTCAGTTTTAATCATGTCTGGCTGACCAGGATCCTATCCTGTCTCCTAGTTGATTATTAATTATGTCTTACCCCAGGTTAGAGTATTACTTTGCAAGTGATTCCAGCAATTTTCATATCATGCTAGGGCCATCTATGTCTTCTTAAAGAAACTGCCTAAACTCATCAACTCGTTGTTTTATGATCCAACCCTAAAACTATCTCCAATATTTTAAATGAACTCCATGATGTTTAGAAGCAACAACTCTGGTGCTGTGTGCTTGCTACATTAAATTGTTTTTAAATTAGGCATTCCTTTCCCACATCTCATTGAGAAAGGCTGGTCACAGCTCTCAGAGCTAACAGGAGCTGTGCAGCTATCAAGTGTCAGGCCATTGTGGTTCCCTGATCCTTTCCATTTTATCCGTCTGATTTCCAAAACTTCCAAAATTTGCAAAGATGGACCACAGAGATTTTCCTTTTGATAACATCAAGCTGACACACAAGAAACATCTGGTGGTTGGTGTCAGCGAGTGTAGCTCCCTCAGCCCAGTGGATATTGCTCATTGGTGGGTTCATATGCCAATAGCTTGCATGAAGTTGTCTCAAAGTCTGAGAAGTTATCCAGAGTTTCTGGGTTCTTCTATACAGCCCAGCCATATGCATTAACACTTCTGGCCCAGATCTTTGTGTACCATTGCCCTGTGAACTTAGTATATACAACTTAAATCTGTGTATAAAATATCTAATTATCTGTTCCCTTAGCTGACTACCCCTTGTGGGGTTTAAGTGTTGGAGTTTGCCCTCCACATGAAACTTCCACTACACTTGGATGGCTGCCTGATTTTCAAATATTTAAGGACCAGTATAAGGATTAGACTGATTTAATATGACCTTAGCACAAAGGGCATCAATGGCCAAAAGCTTTGGGGTACTTTATATTGGTTCAGTGTATTTTGAAACCTATTTCATAGGTATAATATCTTATTTAATTCTGCAACCTCAGTATCTGGATTCTAGTAGGCACTCCATACTGTTCTGAGAAGAATGAATCAATTTCTAACAAGAGATATTTAAAACTAACAGATTGCTCCAAAAGACACTGAGTTCTCTAACACTGGAGCCAAAAGTAGAAAATCATTTGAGACTGAATTTATGTATCAGTAAGAAAATTACCCAGTAACTTCTAAGATCCCCAAATGCTTTAGTAATTTTTCTAATCTCAAAACACTGTTTTCATCACACATTACTTTTAGTGGATAGTATCCTACCCCCGGCAGGATAATCCCCTAAAGGCGACTAAACATCTGACCTCCTGCCATGTACAGATTTTTTTCCTTCTCTTAAGAAGCTGATGGGTTTAAAAGACATGATGATGGTTTTCTAGGCTCAAGTCATCTGCACTGCTTCAACAAAAAGAGGCCGTCTATCTGCACCAAGAAAGAATACCTTTAAATAACATTAATATCCATTGGTTTAGAAATCCTGTTTCATTATCCTTTGGATAAGAATTTCTATAAGAATACATTTGTTCTTCTTTATCCTAATTATGGTGACTACATGGAACCAAAGACTCATGTACAGAGAGTGTGAAAGTGATAAATTCACCACTAACCCCACATCCATGGTACATAAAAGCAGTGAAAGCTCAAGGCTTATTCAGGTATCTACCATTTTGTACAATCTAAAATTATTTAGCATATAAAAACAAATGGATTCAAATCTCGATCTTGACTGAAGAACAGCATTTTCTTTTTCAATTCTGTTTCTTTTCTAGAACTGTCAGGTCATCTGCTATCAGAGACACTGTATATAGATACTCTCTTAACTGTAACTGGGCACTTAGCAGACACTGAATATGCCTCAAGCAAAGGAGGATCTATTTCATTTGTTGAGAACAAATAGCCATACTCTGTTCAGCATGTAAAAGCTGTTGGTTTATTCAACTGCGAACTGGGGAAAGGCTCCCTTTCAGAGTGAACAGCAAAAATGTGTTCATGAGCAAGGCACTTTTATACATACACACGAGAAAAAGGAACATATTATGGTTACACAAATATCTACATATTTTAATTTTCAGACCTCCCTACCTCTTCCCACCTCCCCCTTAAGAAAAAAACCAAACAGATTCTTATAACATTTTAAAGACCAGTTTCACAGAACATCTACATAGGAACAATTTCTGACACATTGTTACACTAACAGTATATGGTTTAAGTTCAGTAATTTTCCACTAACATATCATTTTTCTATCTGCAATTCCCTTCTTTTTCCTAAAACAAGACAACCAAGGCTTAGCATTTTTAAAGTCTTTTCTCTCTTTAAAATTGCTATACATTTATAGAATTTATAACTCCATTAATGCTTCAATTGTTTGATGTCACATTGTACAGAGCACTAATAAGAGGATAGCTTTAATAATCTCTTTTCTGACTTCCTTTAGATGCCCAGTCAACCAGGCTCACACACAGGTTTCATTTGTTATTGTAGGTGTGTGAAAAGATTTAATGGTCTCATGCATCTTATTTTATGTATGTTGATCTATGTTTGACTCATCTAAATAAACACAGCGAGACTCATTTACATGGGTACACACTCTTCCTTGTTCAGCTAGAAGAAAATCTAATCTATGTAGGAAAAAAAGAGGCTTTAAAAAAAATTCTTGAACTTCATATTTTATTAGGCCAAGATTTTCTGTAGTAAGGTTCTTTAGTTACAAGGGTTCCTGAAAAGTTCACAAAGAATGTGGAAAGTGCATAAAGTACTGCAGCAGGAAACATAGATGAAATACTTTAACCCACTAGCAATTAATAGTGAAAGCATAAATGCTTTATTAATCTTTTCCCATTGGTCTTTTGCAATGTTTTAATTGCTCTTGACTAAAGTCTGAGTGCCAAGATGCAAGAAACATATTCCCTCCAGAATAGGTGTATGTTTAATCCCCAGTTCTGATCTTATAGGCCAGTTTAGCTAGGTACAGGCTGGTGGGGAAAATTAGATATAAAATGTTTATGCTGTAATTGCAGGGACCAATATAGATCTATAGCACTGCAGGCGAGGTTTGAAACTGCACCCCCTCCAAGAAGACAAGAACATAGAGTGTGCCACATGTAGGCCATCTACATAAAAGCTGGGACATAAACCTATATTCCCACCACTTTTGTCTAGTTATTCAATTTAATTCAACTACCTATCTAGAAATGAATGCCAGAGAAGAGCATGCTCAGAAAGGTGTTACTGTGGGTAGCTAATTTCCTATTTTCCTCAACGGCTGTTTTGAAAGTTGGGTTAACAAAAATGGTAGTGGCCTACTTCTTTTTTCACATTAATAATTTAATATCTAGTTGGAGTCCATTCAGACAGGCAGGGTAAATGGGGTGGCATAGGGAGAACTGAGTTTGTAGAATAGTTCATTTATCTTTTGTAGTATGGTCCCTTTGACTAATTATCCATTGACATTCTCCTTTTATCCACAGGATCTGTCTAAGGGAATGCTCACAATGCACATTTTCTGTAGTTGAGTTATGAGGTTCTTGGGTATATATTCAGTATCAGCACTTGGTAGGTTAAAAAGGGATTAATTTCTCAACTATTGTCTGTGCAACTTTGTACTACCTCTTCTGTTAGCAACATGACAGACAGCAGAGCAGTGAATCTTTATAGTGATGCGGTTAGGAGTTTATTAACTGCCTTTTGGAAGTCAGTATAGGAGTAAGTAGTGTTGATGGGTTCAGTGCGGGTTGTTTCCTTAACTGTCTTAGTTAACCAGCCACAACAACAACCAGAAACACATGAATTAGGGATCTGTTTTAGGTATTCAGGTATGGGAGTGGCTCTACTCAATGTTCGGCTTAACTGTTTGGTAGCAAATTGCAGTGCTCCATTTAGAGTGGCATGATCTCTAGAAAGCCGGCTGGCACTTGTAAGGGGCTTCTGAAAAGCTGGGACTCCACAAGAAGCCAAAGGAGGCCATTCAGGAATCGGTTCCAGTTTGGGTACACAATGGGAGCAGTGGGAGAGCCTTAGACCTATCTCTCGAAGTATGTGGACTGGTGTGCTTGGATCCAAGAGTTTAGCATGATATAACCAAGAATTTGGATTTAAAGGTTTCCAAGTTGTAGAGTATTTTAAAAGGCACTTAACCTGCCAGGCAAGACTCTCAAGAGGTGTTAGGTTTGGCACCACAGGATCCTCTTCTTCAGAAGAGTCCCATTCTTCCCCAGAACTCTCATTTAGGTAGTTAGCATTTTCTTCTTCTTCACTTTCTGATTCCGGTAAGGGATCAGGAGAGGGATTTCTGGGACCCATTAGAATAAAAAGGAAGCACCAGAAAAAAAGTTACAGTCTTAGCCAGCAAAACACTGACTAACTCTGGCAAGTAGAAACAAAAAATAAAAAGTCCTTTCAACAAGATTAATTTGTCTGTTTTTCAGTCCATTACACACACTGAGCACACCTCTGGCTCATACCCCTGTGCAGGTCTTCAAGATTATGTTGTATATTCTTCACTTACAAAGAAGACATCTCAGTTCTCAGGATCAGTTCAGTGTGTAAAATGTTAGTCACTTACCAGTGGTCAGAGTCTCTCCTTCAAATTCTGGATACCCAAGAAAAGAAGGGGTCCTCGTTTAGGCTGCCATTTTTCTTAGCATGGTCTCAGCTGGTTGTGAAGAGACACTTTATGTACTCTGTTTTGCTGGCAGGGATAGTATATCTACTTGGTAATAAAAGAAACTCGGTGGTGGCCTTCACTGTCCGCTGTTGCAGCAACTTTTCTGCAGAGGGACGGTAGGATGAGTTGTCAAGGGCATCTGGTGTGCACAGATCCGAAGTTTATAGGTGGTGCAAATGCCTTTGGAAACTGGTGACTTGGTTGTTGGGCTATCTGGAAAAGCTGCCTTAACCTGTGAATGAGAAGACTAGAGACATGATATTAAAGCCTAAAAGCAAAGGGTAACATTATTGCCCATCTAACTTTACAGCGTATCCAAGCACATGGATGCTGAACCAGAAGATTTAATGGGCTTTCTCAACTCTGTTTCACTGGTTTAGGAAGATTTGTCCTGTTAGGAAGGGCTCCTACAGTCACAAGGTTCGGGAGGAGCACCTGGGGCCATCCTAATTCTTTTCTGGGACATTACCTGGGCCGTTTGTTTTTTAGTATGTAATTCTAGCCCAGAAAATTACTTCTGCGAAAGTAGTTCCCTTGTGTTGCAAACTCCAAATTTAGCTCTCTTGCTAAAAAGGTATCTTTTTACCATCATATGTACTTGTTGGGATTAGTTTCAGGGGACCTGTCCTGGTTGTAGAGTATCCAGATGTTAGAACTGTTGCTGTGACCCCAGAGGTTGTGGTCATACTCTACAGATCATACTCTACAGAGATGAGAGAAGATGGCAGGTATAGATTTTAATATAGTAGGAATTACAGTGAATGTAAACAGGTTAAAATCACAATGAAAAGACATCCAAGAGTTTAGCATGATATAACCAAGAATTTGGATTTAAAGGTTTCCAAGTTGTAGAGTATTTTAAAAGGCACTTAACCTGCCAGGCAAGACTCTCAAGAGGTGTTAGGTTTGGCACCACAGGATCCTCTTCTTCAGAAGAGTCCCATTCTTCCCCAGAACTCTCATTTAGGTAGTTAGCATTTTCTTCTTCTTCACTTTCTGATTCCGGTAAGGGATCAGGAGAGGGATTTCTGGGACCCATTAGAATAAAAAGGAAGCACCAGAAAAAAAGTTACAGTCTTAGCCAGCAAAACACTGACTAACTCTGGCAAGTAGAAACAAAAAATAAAAAGTCCTTTCAACAAGATTAATTTGTCTGTTTTTCAGTCCATTACACACACTGAGCACACCTCTGGCTCATACCCCTGTGCAGGTCTTCAAGATTATGTTGTATATTCTTCACTTACAAAGAAGACATCTCAGTTCTCAGGATCAGTTCAGTGTGTAAAATGTTAGTCACTTACCAGTGGTCAGAGTCTCTCCTTCAAATTCTGGATACCCAAGAAAAGAAGGGGTCCTCGTTTAGGCTGCCATTTTTCTTAGCATGGTCTCAGCTGGTTGTGAAGAGACACTTTATGTACTCTGTTTTGCTGGCAGGGATAGTATATCTACTTGGTAATAAAAGAAACTCGGTGGTGGCCTTCACTGTCCGCTGTTGCAGCAACTTTTCTGCAGAGGGACGGTAGGATGAGTTGTCAAGGGCATCTGGTGTGCACAGATCCGAAGTTTATAGGTGGTGCAAATGCCTTTGGAAACTGGTGACTTGGTTGTTGGGCTATCTGGAAAAGCTGCCTTAACCTGTGAATGAGAAGACTAGAGACATGATATTAAAGCCTAAAAGCAAAGGGTAACATTATTGCCCATCTAACTTTACAGCGTATCCAAGCACATGGATGCTGAACCAGAAGATTTAATGGGCTTTCTCAACTCTGTTTCACTGGTTTAGGAAGATTTGTCCTGTTAGGAAGGGCTCCTACAGTCACAAGGTTCGGGAGGAGCACCTGGGGCCATCCTAATTCTTTTCTGGGACATTACCTGGGCCGTTTGTTTTTTAGTATGTAATTCTAGCCCAGAAAATTACTTCTGCGAAAGTAGTTCCCTTGTGTTGCAAACTCCAAATTTAGCTCTCTTGCTAAAAAGGTATCTTTTTACCATCATATGTACTTGTTGGGATTAGTTTCAGGGGACCTGTCCTGGTTGTAGAGTATCCAGATGTTAGAACTGTTGCTGTGACCCCAGAGGTTGTGGTCATACTCTACAGATCATACTCTACAGAGATGAGAGAAGATGGCAGGTATAGATTTTAATATAGTAGGAATTACAGTGAATGTAAACAGGTTAAAATCACAATGAAAAGACAAGACACTTAGGATTAAAAAAACAGTGACATGCTGCTAACAAGAGACACTTTGAAGCAAAAAGATACAGAAAGGTAAAAAATAAAAGCATAAGAGAAGATGTATCAGGCAACGTGGCCCAAAATAAAAGCTGAGATAGCAATGTGAATATTCAACAAGAAAGATTTCAAGCCAAAAAATGTAAGGGACAAAGATGGATGATAGTACTGGTAAAAGGAACATAATAAAATATACTCATCATAAACATATATGAACCTTAAAGTACATTCTTAAAATTCCTCAAGTAACAATTGATAGAACTAAGGGGAAAATATAAGCAGGTTATGAATATCGTTTAGGTATTATGTAAGTAGAACTCCATAACAAGCAGAATTAATATTTGAACACATACACAGAGACAAATAGATCATGCATTAGGTTATAAAGTATAACTAGATTCTAAAGGGTCAATTTCATTCAGACTAAGTTCTCTGACCACAATGTAATAAAAGTAGTATTAATGGTTAAATGTAATCCTAGTTGGAAAACCAAGTAACTCATGGGTTAAAATGGAAATTATAAAAAATGTTAAGAAGTATTAAACTGAGTAATATTATAAGGCACTATTTGTGGGACACGGCCAAACTGGTGTCTACAAGAAACATTTAGCTTTGGATACAATACCCACAAGTTAAACATTCAATTCCAGGTAACAGAAGAGAAACAGCAAAATAAGCAGGAAGAAAGGCAAAAATGAAACAGTACATAAAAGAATAGTAGAGAAGACTGAAAAAATTAAAAGATGGTTTTCTGAAAATATGAATAAGAAAAATGAAACTAGTGAGAATTACCAAGAGATTTAAAAATGAGATTAAATGTAAGAACTAGTTTGTTATGCTTCAGAAGATTGGAGACTGATGAGAATTAGGCTTGAGATGGATTAATGATTGTACATTGAGCATTGACCCCCCTATACTGAATTTTATTGTTGTTAACAACCATTTGATCAATAAATATGAGAGATGCCCTCTCAAAAAAAATAAAATAAATAAATAAATAATTTTAAAAAAATCGAGGAAAAAAATGAGATTAAAAATAAAAAATGACAAATTTTTGCAAAAAAGGGAAAATCTAGATGAAATGGCTAAATTCTAAAGGAACATAAATTATTAAAATTCATAGAGGAGAAACAGATAATTTAATAAACCTGTAAAGATTAGAGAAACTGAAAAGGCATCAACCTCCTATTAAAAACAGCAAGCGAATATGGTTTTATAAGTGAGTTTCACTAAACTTTCAAGGAAATTAACACTTGTTTCAGAAAAAAGTAGAAAAGCGTACAAACTAACTGGCTCCTTTTATGAGAATTATTAATTCCAGATCTAGAGACGAACCAGATAAGAAAAGCATAGGCTCATTTCACTTGCAAGTTTCTGGTATTACCTAAGAAAAATCTAATAGTGTATTAAAGAAAAATAAAAGAGTATGTTATAATCATTATAATCATGTAGAAATATCCCTGGAAAGAAAGAATATCTCAACTTCAGAAAGTGTAGAAATACATCACCACAGTAATAAAGGGGGGAAAAGAGCAGATAATTTTATCAACTGTGGATACTTGACCTTTTCTAGTCCTGATCAACACCTATTTATGCTTTAAAAATAAAGCACTCTTACCAAACTAGGAAGAAAAAGTTACTTTCTCATGAGGTTTGGTAAAGATTACCTACAAAAAACCTTCAGGAAATATTAGCCTAAAAGAGAAACTTAAGATATATTCCCTTTAAAAATGAACCTAGATAAGGATGACCATGATGACTGATACTGCCTGACATAGCACAAAAAGTCCTAGTCAATGTTATAAAAATGAACAAATGACAGTTGGTAAGAGCTGAATAAAAGAGATAAGCTTATTAATTTACAGATGATATGGCTATCTAATTTAAAAAAAGTGAACTATTAGAGCTAATAAAAGAGCTTAACAGAATTTCTGGTTCTGAGATTACTATGAATATTAATTAGTTAATTTATCTAGCCTTTACTATTTGTCAGGTATTATTCTAGGAACTGCAAATGTTAACTCTCTTAAAATTGTGCTAACAACCCTTTAAGACAGTTGTCTCCATTTTACACGAGGTCTAGCTACCTGCCCAAGATCATACATCTGCTAAATGACAGTCAGGATTTGAATCCTGGCACTCAACTTTTATCCCAGCAATACTCACCAGAAAATGTTTTACATGAATACCTTTCATAACGGCAAAAAACTCACCAAATCTATAAAAGATCTAGGAACCAATCAATAATATATATTATATAAGACCTGTAGGATGAAGAATGTAAAATTCTAATACAGGACATAGAAGATAATTAAATATAGATATTCTATGCTCTTGGATGAACAAATGAATATTGTAAAGATTTATTATATATATTTCAAGCATAAAATTATAATATTATAAAGAGTAAAGGGGTTCTTGGCTTACAAGATGTTAAAATATACAAAGGCACAGAAATTAAAAATAGGGTTTAGTTAGTGTAAGAACAAGTAGTCCAATGAAACAACAAAGCTCAGAAACAGAGCCATATATAATTTTGGAATGCAGTAGAAGATAAAGTTAGCAAATAAATCAAGGGGAATGGATGCATTTAAGACATAATATTGGTAAAACTGCCTCAGTATAGGAGAAAAATAAAACTGTATACTTATGATGCCACTACATTGGAGGACTCATGATGGAGTGAAGACCTAAATGAGAATGGTAAAACTACATAGTTAATGGAATACAATGCGGGAGAATATCTTTGTGATTTAGAGCCAGGGAAAGACTTCTTAAATTAAATAATATAAGGCACAAGACCAAAAAATGATGAATTCAATCACATAAAAAATCAGTCATTTCTGGAATGAACTAAAGACATTAAGAACAAAGTTAACTACAGACCACCAACAAAAAACGTAGCAGTATTAAAGAAATGGGCAAAAGACAGAACTATCCAATTTACAGAAGAGAAAATCCACAGGCCATTAACCATAAAATCAGCAAATTGTTCTATTAGTTTGGTAAAAATTAGAAAGCTGGGAAATGCTAAGTATTAGTGAGGAGACTAAAGGAACCCCTAGGACGATAAAATATTAATTCGAGATCCAGAGGTGAACCAACTAAGAAAAGCAGAGGCTAATTTCACTTACAAAAACAGGGTATCCCTTATTTTTGCAGGACGGTAAACCAGGGTATCCCCTTCTCAAGAGCAAAATCTGTCAGCACTACTTAACCAAACTAACTGCACATATCTCATGATCCAGCAATTCTCATGAGTAATGATGTTGGGTATACACAGTAAAGAAATTCTCCGTAAGACTACCATGCACTCTGAAGCTTCATCTTTGATGGTAAAGAGTTAGAAGCATTCTAGGTTTCTACCACTGGAGGAGTGGCCAGGTAAAATGTGGTCAAAGCACATTAGAAGGTACAGAGCCAACACAGATGGACTAAGGCATAGCTCTAATGAAAAAAGCAAAAAATAAATCCAGCCCATTTGTGCCATTCTGTAGGAGTGATATCCAAAATGAATGTCAGTAAACATCT